ATGGAGGTGGCCAGGCCCTCAACGTATAAGGACCTTCCTTTGGCTTCTTGTGAAAAATCGACTACTCACTAATGTGCAGAGAAGACGGCGCCTCGTGACGATCGATACTCTATGTGGGTTGTGCTTCCAGTCTGAGGCGACAGCGCTGCACGTAGTCCGTAACTGCCCCATGGTCGCTGCAATATGGAGAAGGCTGCTGCCGGGTAAGTCCCACGCTACGTTCTTTGCATGGAAGCTGGAACCGTGGATTTGTTTGAACTTGGCGTCTACATCAGGAATAGGGGTGGATAATTGGGACCGCACTTTTGGGGTTGTGGTGTGGAAACTTTGAAAGTGGAAAAATGAACCAATGGCTTCTCCACAGGACCAGCAGGTACCTCCCATTTGGCTCGATGCAATTGACCTCCTTATGTGCGTAACCATCTTACCGGAATCGAGGGCTTTCCCATTTGCCCAAAATCCTCTTGTCCCCACAAGGTTCCCGAACTTTGCCCGAGTGCGCCACCACTCAAGCTAGTTGTGAAGGTACTGTATAACTCTTTCAGGGGAAAGTAAGGGACGTGGCTAGTGGTATGCGCGAAATCAGCACATATATTGCAGGGCTTAAGACGATCCTTATGTGTGACATGAAGCTTGGGGGATCGGGCCACATGAGGATCCCACGGTGGATAAGGTGGGAGAGGCCTCCGCCGGGATGGGTCAAGGTCAACTCCAATGGCTCTTCCAATGGGACAACGGACATGGCCAACTGTCGGTTCACGGCCCGGCCCGGCTCGCCGGGTCGACAGGCTCAATTGTTGGGTCCGTAACCGGTCCGACAATTCACCGACCCGTCGGTTTTTAAAAAAAATAAAAAATTAAATAAAAAAGCAACTATGACCCGTCGGAAAAACCGGAACAGGCCCGGCGGGTAAAAAATGAATAAAAAACGGCCCTTAACTGACTATTAAGAGGTTTAGGGCCGGGCCTGGTTGGCCCGTGGCCACCTTTAACGTCGGGCATGGGATGCGCTGGGGGCCTTATCTGTGACGAACAAGGTCGTTGGCCTGGAGGTTTCACAATGAAAATTGGGTTTTGCTCGATAATGACGGCGTAACTATGGGGATTATTTCAGGGTCTTCGCTTGGCGTGGCACTTGAAGTTTCGGCAAGTGGAAGAGGAAGTCGACAGTGCGAGTGTCGTGGAGTTTTCTAAATCCTTTGTCAAGGTGTCGGAAATGCACACCAGCCTTATTTTGGGTATCAAAGAACTCTTAGGTCGTACTTAGAAGGTCAAGGTGCAACATGCATTCCGTGAAGCGAATTTTGCTGCCGGCCATTTGGCTTCCTTCATTGCGGAAGAATCATTGGGTTATCACTTCTTTCATGCTCCACCCATAGAGTACGGCTGTGGCTGTACCATGATCTTAGTGGAGTTTCATACTCCAAGAACGTGTGTAGCCATTCTGTAACGTTAAGCGTTAGCATCTCTCTTTGTACCAAAAAAAAAAAAAAAAAATTGCAACAATTATAACTTTATTTTAATTAACACTCGTGTAATTTACATATTTTGTTAATAATTTTTATAATTGGTTAAAAGAACTATAACCCACTGTAAGCAAATAAAAATAAAAAGGTAAATAGAATAGACAATTATATATATATCACAATTATTATTTATGGGGAGACAAATCGTGTTGAGGAACTGTTCTCTCCATTTTGTAATGTATTGTCCAAAAACATTTGCCATATGGTAAATGTAAATCTGTCCCCTACGTTCCTTTTTTTTGCATATAATATAACAAAAAATAAATAAATAAATAAATAAAGAGAAAATTCATAATAATAACAATAAAAAAAAATATTTCACTGCCTTGTAATTTTTATTTTTTTTTCTTCTGTAATAGTAAAATTTATTTATTATTATTGTTTTGTCATTTTTCTGTACTGTACTATCATGTCAATGTTCTTCAGACTTATCTCGGAAAAGGCAAATAATATAAGCAATTAAATTCTACTGACTTCAGAATTATCTATATATATATTAAAGCTAAGCAGCTGGAAAAATTTTCTTTTTCCCTCCAAAACTACATTTATTACACTGAAATAAATTTTGATAACTTCTATGTAATACAACCATCAACTTAATAAGTTTTTACAAAAACAAAAAAAAAAACACTTAATTATGTATATATATTTATTTACTTAATAAATAATTACTCTTATATTCCCAAAGCTTCATTTACTATACTTTTTTTTTAACTTTTATGTAACTCAACCATAAACATAATTAATTTTTGTAAATAAATATATAATTATAAATGTATTCAAAATTTATAATTTATAAACATTATATTCAATTAAACATTTATTGTGCAATTAAAATTGATGTGAATTTGTGTTCAAAAGTAATAAATTATAAAAAAAAGACTATTAGAAGCTATTCATCAATTTACATGTATGTTGGAGTAAAAATTGTCTGCTATAATTGTCTTTCCTTTATCAATGAAATTTTATTTAAATAATTCAATATTTTTACAGCGAAAATCTCAATGCATATTTCAAGAAGTTTAATTAGCTTCCGTTTATAAATAATTTTCAGTCCAAATAGCTAGATATATTATTGACTTAATGACTAATAATGATATTGAAGAATTTTTCTCTTAATTCCACAAAAAAACTAAAAGCACAATTTTAAAGTATAAAAGATAAAATTCTCGCAACATAATTTTTTTTTTTTGTTCTACAATTATCCTTGACGTTTTCCAATTCAAGACTACTATTTAAATTACAACGATGATATTTTTTATTATGTTGTCTTAGGCAATGTGAGTTGATCAAAAGTCAACTATTGTTGTTATATGTGATATTGTTGCTGAAAAAATATGCACTTAGTCATAATAGTAGCATATTGTTGTTTCTAGAGTTATAAATGAAAGATCAATATTTTCATTGACAATAGTGATCATAATAAACTCAATTTGCCTACAACTAATGTTATATGTATAATTATTCAAATGCTTAATAAGTGACATTATTTTAAATAAATTGTCATTTGTTTAAATTATAATTCATCAATATATTTAACATGATGCCGCGCAACGCGCGGGTGCCGTACTAGTTGTCTTTATATATTGATTGATCCAAGAATCAAAAGGACTTGTCACATGTATGATGTATGATGATAAATGTTTTTTTTTTTTTCAACATACAAGTTATTGACATAAATTATATGTAAACCCTTTTTTATTAGAAAATTTTATTTACCGTTTGATTAACACACATTTATAAAAATTATAAATAGTTGTGTAATTAATCAAGTAGTAAAAAATTCGATAACTACAGTACAATTCGAACGAGCCCCTTTTATAAATCAACGAGAAAAAAAAATGATTCTATACTGAATTTAATTCTATTATTATGATATTCATCAAAATTATGAAATTGAATTTAATTCTATTTTTACAATGTTTTGCCTAAGTGTCATCTAATTAAGTTGTGTGGTCAATCTATGTACGACTAATTTTGTACCAAAATTGAGACTTTTGAATTGTTGCCTAACGCAATTTGGAGGCTTAAAAATAATGCAATGATTGTGACTAATATTATAATTATTGTTAATGATATGATATTAATTATTATTATTAATTTTTTTATATGAGAAGATTGACACCAATTATTTGAACAAGCCCACCTAATACTGATAAATTAATACACCTGATAACTACGTGTTAGATTTTTATTTGCTGATTTTGTAGATCGCTAAATAATATTATTATTTTGATTTAATTTGGATTAGGTGAACTGACTTCACCTTAGTCATTAAATAATTTAGAGGAGAATATTAATTAATCATTGGCTTTTGCAGTTTTTGGGATTAGCATCCCATTTTTATATTATAATCCAAGAAAATAGATAAAGTATATCACCTCAAAGCAACTTATTTTTAAGCTCATTGGTTGCATTCTACAGTATTTAATTTATTTTTAAACATGAAATGTATTTATAAAAAACAACTCAAATAAATTGCTTTTTTATTTTAAATTATTTGTATAATTGTATGACATTATATTGTAAATGCTTAATAGCTTTAAAAAAAAATCAGAGTAAAATTTTTGCTTTTATTTTCGAAAGATCGTGCGAGCTGGTTTTCGAAAATACTATCTTGTTGCGGGATGCTACAGATAAAAACTTTCTTATTTTTACTCATGCAGACATAATAAAAACATGCAACCAAATCAACCCACTGTGGAGAGTGGAAACACACATTCATGTCTGGTTGTCTCGCACTGTCTAGTTTAACGGAAGTTTAACGGAATACATTTCACCAATAATGCTAAGAAGTCAATTGTTGGCTCCGTTATGGAGCCAGCAACTAATGGGACAACTCCATGTGGGACTGTCCCACATGGCTCCAATGTGGGACAGCCCCACATAGAGCTGTCCTATTGGTTGTTGGGTCCGTAACGGAGCCAACAATTGGCTCCTTAGCATTCCTGTACATTTCATACGCATTTTTATGTCCTAGATTTCATGAGCATGTATTATTCAGTTATATATGCAAAATTGCCAAAAAAATCACTGTGGATTGTAGGTTAAATTGACAAAATTAAAAAAAAAAAATTGTTTAAATCGAAATTGAAATAAAATCTGTGATTTTATTTAGAAAATAAGCAATATTGTTATGAATAAAATGTATATCCACCTATTTATAATTAGGCTGACCGACACAAATCTTACTAGAAAGATGTTATTTCAGCACCAAAAATTATACTGGACTGGACTGAAATTGCACGATAAATTTAATTATATTTATCTAGTTCAAATATTTGGATTGAAATTGCACATTAAGATTTATTTTATATAATTATATATATATATAGGTCAAATAATAATTTTAATAATTATATTCATGCATTTTTCATGATGCACCAATTATTGTTGACTGCACAAAGATGATTAAACACCTATATATTCAAAGGCTTCTCCTTTTTTTTTTTTAATTAAATAAAAAAAGTTATACCTACTAAAATGGTGCAAACATTATAGGCTTAGATCAAAGTCATCATATATATTATATATAAATAAATAAAACTCAGAACAAAAAGACAAAGAATCTAATAATATAACTCAAATGAATTTTAATAACTTAATGCTGTATGCCACTAGCTAGCTTGTGGCACATATATATCCAACCCAAGCATAGGATTCTAATCCTATACTTTGTCTTTTTATGCCACAATTATACAATTAATAATGTTAAAAATTAATGAATAAATCATAATTAATAACAGTTACAAAATAAAAAGTTAATTAAAAATTATGGTATTACAGAGAAGCTTCCCACTATCAATATTAGGCATAATTAATATACCAGTGGGTGGAGAGTCAATTTCATTTGGTGGGACATTACCAAAGACTTTAAAAGTGTAAGAGATAATGAAAAAAAAATGTTTTTTTTTTTAATTTTAATCAGTCAATCAGTTTAATTAAATTATAAAAAAATTGTATCATATTTCCATGTTGTGCAAAATTACTATAAAGTATTATTATTTTTTATAAGTTGTGATGAAATTAATTGCTACATTTATGTTTGTTCTGCACTTCCCTTTCTTCACAACTTGTCTTCCAGCCATTTTTGAACTAACAGTGCACTTGCATGTGCATGTGTGTAAATCTTATTGAACTTGTAGATTGAAAAAAAACAAAACATGAAAAAGGGATTTGAATTATAATCTTGATGCAAGTAGATATATGTATAAATAGGGTAAAATGTTCTTTTTTTTGGTAGATTCGAGTCTACCGGTGTCTGCAGTACAGTCACAAATAGTTTGTTACCGTTAAATTATCACACAAAGATTCACACGAGTGGTAAAAAAACCCGATAACTATAATCTGCATTCGTAAGGGTGGTAAAAAAACCCAAACAAAAGTATTTAGTACGACATTTCACATCATAAGTATGCAGATTTTTATTAAATAAGTATGATAGATCGACCCGTCTAGCTGTTAAACTGTCTCACATCATGAATTTGTAATATCCAAGCTGCAAAAAATGTTGAGTTT